TAGACATCTCTGTAGATAAGACAGGCCTGCAGAATTCATGTGCCTACCTACATGCAAGATAATCAGCACTGGCACAATGGCTCTGTGTCACCCTCCAGTCATGAGACAGCACACTGAGGCTTGTGCTGGCTGGCGCTTCCACCCCCGAAATTCTGTCCTTCAGCAAAAAGGTGAAGCTGTTACACCTTTACACTCAGTGCTCCCAGATTCATTCTCTCCAGATGACCCAAGATGACACGATCCTTGGTTATGCTGCTGGAAACTGCTGGTCTGTCCTCTGCAACAAGAAGATGGAATAGGAATTAGGAGTCCTGAGAGCACCCATGTTCTGTCTCACCCATAGCTGCACGGTGTCTGCTGTGACAGACTGGCCCACACAAAAAGCAGCAGCAGGCTTTTCCTCTCATTCCTACCACTGCCAAGCAACATGTGTAGCGGCAGTGAAAGAGTTTTTTGTGATGAAGCTGAAAACTGAATTCAGGTTAAACTCCATTGATCTATGCTGGGTGGCCTTATTGCACACATAAATACAAGCTACTGTAGGAATGTGACAGTAATTGCTGAAATCCTTTTATGGTGCAAAATATTCTTGATAAAATTGAAATTATATGCTGTATGGTATTTGTTGCACTATTGTACTTTTTAGTGTTTCATTTTTGGTTAATGATGTCAGCTGCCTCTTTAAGAACACTTTTTGCTACTTTCCTGTGTATCTGAGACAAAGAGCAGCCTGTGGGATATTTTGCTCTTGTACCCAAAGAGTAAAAGGCCCTGCTTGTCTAAGCACCAAGAAAGGTCAAATACAGATTTGAAGAAAGCAAGCATCATTTTCAGAAACACCAGATCAGTGTTTGTATGAGACTGGATACAACACAATTTCCTCAGCAAGATATTGAACCTTTCGCCTCATACTGAAGCTTTTACTACTTTGCTTCCCACCCAGCTCAACATTTTGCATTTTGGACTGTATTAAAAAGTCTTTGGAATAGGGAATATTTCTTACTATGTGTTTGTGTGCTGCATTGCACAATGGGCCCCAGCCTTGTCTGGATCCTCTCTCGAGCCTTTCTGTGTTTGGGTACAAAAGCGTATTACTCATAATGAATTTGCAACGCAAATTTGACAGGACTCTACTAGTCACACAAAGTACAAGAACAGAAAATTGTTCAAGAGTACAAACTACAATCATTTTGTACTGAAAAATGAAATTTTTTAAACATATCTTTTGAAAGATAGCTTATGCATAGCTGCCGCCTGTAGTCCAGCAGAAGTACTGATTTGGGGAAGAAAAGGTAGATCCATGATTGTATATTCAATCAGTCTGAGCTATGCAGATGTTTTAGAATGCCTGCTAAAAATACTCTAATGAAACACCAAACAATTAGAGCAGCACAGTAGTATTATTCACATAATGAAATACTAAGTGTTAGGTATTCACATTTTGCAGGATTAATCTGAACTTGAAAACTAAGCAGAGAAAGCTGAAATCAAATTCCTAGATTCCTTGCAGTCAAAAGGTATGGCTTTTAAAAAGTCATTTGGAAAGTAAGTTCCCAGAAATCAACTTTCAATATACTATATTGTTCTTCTAATCACATATTATAATAAAACCCTTATGTTGATAACTTGGAGTTATATTAAGTGGCATCCATTGTAATTTGGTTAAAATCATGCTTTAGGATAGCTTTGCTGGAGTCAATGGACTCACACAAGGAATTGATTTTAATGGGCAATATCTTTGCACGGATCAGAGCTTGTGCAACCTTGTAAAAGTTTTGTATTAATTGCATCAATCTGCAGTAAGTCGTGCATTTAGATTTCGCCTCAAGTTTCACAAGTGTGTGAAGTTCTTAGGAGAACCGAACACACCTCTGGATTAATGCTCAACTAAATTATGAATGTATAAGAAAACACGGAGTTGACAGACATGCACTATGAAGAAAAGAAGACTGTGTTTTGGGACTTCAGAGGGATGGAAATCCCTGTTATTGTATGTTCTTTTAAAAAATCTGGGATTCATCAATGCAAGTAACCATATGTTTTTGTTGTTTCTGATCTGCCCTCTTAATAAGAAGACTTTTATTTTCTGTTAAAAATTACAGAATACTTCATCGCAATGCCTTTTCTGTAATACAAAGTGTATTTCATTCTCTATCAATAACATGAAAAATTCCCAAATTTTAAAATCTCCTATGCTGCTGGTGTTCATTATACCTAGAATGCCTTCTTTTTCTAACTTGTTGTATGAACATACATTAACAGTGAAAGTCAGCTGGAAGATGGAGTCTTGCAATTGTGGATCCTGTGTAAGAGAACTTGCCTTAAAACCAATACAAAATCCGACTTAAATTATCTGAATGATGATGAAGCTACCTCTTTCCATCTCCCCGGCTACTCTCCCAGACAACTTCTAGCCTACTGAAGCCCTCAAGAAGGGACTGTGAAAGTGTGAAGATTCTGATCTCTTGCCTCCTGTTTCACCATTTACTGAAACTGTAAAAACCCCTAGGCAATCCTGCCATTATCTTTGAACCCTGTGTAAGACACTGAAGCGGAGAGCATACGCATTAGTGTAACATTATGAACTCTGTGATTAAGGGGCGTTACACACTGTAGCCAGGAAAGCAAGAATCAAGCCTTTAGCACGTATGGCTGTTTTAAATTTCTTACAGATTATAGCAACTTGATATTATTACATATTCTTTTAATTCTCTTTTCACCATAATCTTGTATACTCTATACTCACAATTGAAATCAATTTCTAATAATTGCTTTATCTGATTAGTCTGATAACATAAAGCAAAAGTCTGTCTTGTGGAACTCTTCAAGCAGGTTGATCAGGGTGTCAGAAATAATCATTCAGCACACTTCCTAAACTACTGATATTTATCCAAGAGTTCTGCTACTTCAGATGAACTATGAGAAAGGAACGGCAACGAGGGACATAACACAGCCCACCGCTCCGCATTAGAAGCCAGATCAACCATTTACACTAAACTCAACTCTAATGATAATGGCACTTGGAAAGGAATAGAAAGAGAGGAGAAGCTATATCTTAAAGAAATTACTTTAGTCTGCAATATGAAATGCTCATCATTAAATGACAATTTGAAAATTGCTGAATTTCCCAGACTTGTAGTGCTTGGTTGTTGGTAACTTAAAAATACTGAAGATACATTTCTTCCTGGTAAATTAATAATACACACATTTAACTCTGCTTTAACTTTGTCATCTTTTGTATAAACAACATCGCCAGCCAGGATTAACTAATTTTGGAGTGTATCCCACTTCAGAGCATACATTTGTTACTGTATTTGCCAGAGCGCAGATCCCAGATTAGTGACCTCCGCGTATTATGTGGAAATACATGTATTAGAGACGTTCATTCAACTCCAGCATCCCCTTGCCTCTTATTTTCACCTCTTCTGCTCCTCAGATGTTAGAGGAGCTTAAAAGCAGATGACAGAGTTGTTACCACCAGGCTCATCACTACATTCCCACAAAACCCGTGCAAGTTCGAGGACTTTTCTGCTGAACTTTTTGAGAGCAGAAAACGTGGTCACCCCAGGGGGTAAAAAGCCGCGCCCCGGTGCCGCACCTTCAGGGGATTTATTCGAAGTTGCTCCCTCAGGAACTGTTTATTTCGGAAGGAGCTCCGCGGCGAGCACGCCTTTACCTCAGGCAGCTGCCTCCCGCCGGC